TGACACACTTGCTCATAAACACACTAATAAAGATCTCTTTCTTCTCACACACACACACCTCCACTGAAGCTCATCTGTTGCTTAGAGCAGGCTCAACTGAGGCGAGCGAAGCCTGTGTGGGGTGCTGACTGAACATCTCTGCCAGGAATTCTGCAGGGTGGTGCACGGGTGGGTAATCATCACTCGACGTGTCTCTGTGGTCTACAGCCCGGCACTAGCCTCAGGAGCACAACTCCAAGAGGTGTAAATCACAAACCCTGGAACCTCTCCAAGCTAACAACCAATCATGTCAACAGAAGTGACTCGGAAATCAACCTTCTTGTATGTGTGGGTTGAAATGCTCATTTTGTAGGTGCTCGCTCATAATAAAGCACCATTGCATGTTTGTGCAGGCAGCTCTCCAAAAAGCAACATCAAATGAAATATACTAAACAATGGGATCTTTCCAGGGAGGGGCAATATTCAAATAATCCAGCTTGACCTTTTTAAGGATGTGCCCCTTTTCTTTTTAAAGAATCATGCAGCAAACATTGCTGGCTCTATTTTGTCTGGAGTTATTTTCAGGTGTGTATTGTTTGTTAAGGAAATATTCTTCTGGATGTTAATTTGGGAGGAGATGAGGTAGTCCTGAGAGGGGTGAGGTGGGGGGGCAGATTTGGCAACATGGCATAGTAAGGATGTGACAGGGAAAAGGAAACTAACGTTTTATTTTTGGTCAACTTGAAAGTGAAACTGGAAAATACTTGCCCCTACGCAAAAGGAAGCTACAAGGGCAAGTGAAACACATCCACTCACACACACATATACACACACACAGACTGCCCTGTGTTTCACACGTTGAGTGTTTGCATTAGCAATCATTTTTCAGTTGGAATGGCACGTGAGAGAGGCAGCTCTTCCTCGGAAGCCCGCTCCACTCTCCAAACAAAGTGAGAGTCCTGTTTGCTTTAATGCTGCTCCGATGCCTGGTTGTCATGTCACTCATGTACAGTCAATGTCCCTTATTACAGTTTGATTTAGTTTAAGAAAACCAGCATTTTCATTTAAAGCACCAATAGTGAATAATGCTGTATAAACATTGGATCCCATGACTACTTTTACATGAAAGGCTCTCTCAAAGAGATTTTTCCCAGGCCTGTTTTGGTGCAAATGTGTTGTCATTCATTCTGTAAAACTAATGTCACAATATGTTCAGCAACATTAACTCATATAGACCATTTAAAAAGAAAAAGTGTTGACCTTCTTGTCCATGTTGGCCTAACTCAACTAAAGCCAACATGGATAAAAGGGCGGTGAAAAAATGCGCTTACAATTCCATGACAGCAGGAAGCACTTAATGTGCTGACAAATATTGTGTTGTGTGATCAAAAGCTCCAGAATCACAACAAGAATGTGCAACAGGAATTTGGCTCACAGTATGCTAAGCTCAAATTAAAATGAATGGAGATCTAACCATTTATATACAAGTTATATCTAAAGAAATGTAAGTGCAATTGGACGTTTTGATCGTGCTTCCAGTAAGTCCTTGTGTGTTGCCCTTGTTTTACCAACGATCTTCATTTGTTATCAGGCACCATCAGCCTTATCAGGAGCGAGGGAGGAGTAGGAGGGACGAGAGAGGAATATGAAGCTCCACAGAGAGGAAAGATGGAGAGGTGTTGTCGACAAGCCTTCGAAACAAACACCATCCCCCGCAGTCAGACGCCACGGCCTCTGGCTCCTTATGTCTCCCTTCTCCCCACATCCTCTTACAGTCTGTCTTTCTTCCTCATTCTTTCCATTCATTATTTTTAACATCTCTCTATAAACTATTTCACTTAGAATATCTCTCTCCATTTCGACACATCTCACTCTGCCTCTCAATAGCAGCTGTAGCTATAATAACATTTCAGCCATCCATCAGGCACAGCTTTGATCAATAAGCACTCTGTGTCCACTCCAGAGCACCGCACTGAACTTAAAATGTCTCCCCTCTGTCTCTGTCAGTACTTATCTCTCTGCTGACAAAGCTTTATTAGACTCAGGGGTGGATGACTATTACAATAGATTTCACAATGCATTTCGGCCCTGCGCTGTGTGTAATGTAAATGAAACACACAGAGGTGATCTATGGCAACGGCCTATGTTCTTTACAGTTTCCATTCATCCTAAACGATTGGAAGAAGTTGTAAATCCTGTGCCTGAAACGGCATGACTTTATCAGCACTATAGTAGTGAGGAGGTATTTAAGGCGCCTTCTTCTGCCCCTTTTTTCTTTTTTTTTTCAAGATGTCAACCATGTGGATTAAAAACACATGTGCGTCCCGAACATGTGCCGCAGATCAGGAGTCAATTTTTTTGTATGCTGTCTGAAATCACATTTGACAGTTTTAACTTTAGATGCCTTATGGATGAAGTGTTTAAGAACTGAACCGAGAGATAAATTATTTACAAGCATAAAAAAGGACATACTCAGATGGAAAATTAGGGATTTCGTGCCCACATGCTTTCAAGTGCAATTTTTTTATGCAACGCCAGTTATTTACCAATACTTTGTGGTGGTGAACACAATCATGTTGAGCTTTAATATCTGGGACAAAAATAAGCTTGTGGAAACATTAATAATAAAACATTCTTTCTGTTTTTCTCGCAGAACATACAATAAGGAGATCCGAGCATAACTAACCTTTATGGATATAGAAAGGGAGTATTTAAACAAAAGGGATTTTAATTTCAAAGATTTATATAGGTCTGATGAGGTAAAAGTGTTTCGTGAAGAAAAAAAAAACAAGCATCTGTTGCTAAGCTAACAGCTGTTTTTAGGCTGTTTCATCTTGCTTACGTCGGGAAAATATTTATATTACAGTTCAGTTGAGGCTGGAAATAATTAGTTTTGTACTTCTATGGTCATAAACCAAGGTTTAATGTTGCTAAAAGGAAGTTCAGGGGATCATCAGAGTTGTTAAACTTGTCAAATAATTTCACTCAAAACTACAAATATCAGCCTTGTGTTGGCGCTAAAAGAAAATTCAATAGGATTTATCCACATGTGTACATTAAACCTCTGTAAAAAATCTAATAGCATTTCTAATATTTAAGTCTTGACCAAATTTGTTGACCGACCAACCAACAGTCCAACATCGCCATCCCACAAGTGTGGCTACAACATTATCTTCACATTAAAAAGGGGAAATTTTGAGTCCAAAGTTCACGTGCTTTGAAGTCACATGTGGGTTGTCATGACTCATGGGCAAAAACAAATAATGTTTAGTTGTGCTTTGACGTCCGGGATAAAAAGGAAGTTATGGTGATGAAAAACAGTCTAACACCATTGGCACAAATCCATTTAAAAGAGGTTAAACTAAACAGTATTTAACCAAAGAAAAAACATATCCCCACCCCCCTTTCCTTTCTTCTTTATTCCTTTATATCCACTGTGACACTGTGGTTTGGGAACGACTATTTTAGCATATATGGTTTCAAGAGAGTTTATAGTGGCTTAAATGTAATAAAACAACTGCTAAACAACCATAATGTTTACTTACTTGAATATCCCTCAGCCTTTCCTGCTCAGTGATGGCTGTACAGAGCAGGGCTGATGTAACATTTATGGCCTGTTGTGTACATCTAAATGCACATCTAACTATCATTAAGCAGGGAATAACATGGGCAGTATCACCTGTAATGGAGATTGATATCAACAGGGGGAGAGAGGAGGAATAGAAATGCTCTTAAACTTTGTGTTGTGTACGTCCATGATTCATATTCACCACTGAAACTAAATCTCAAATCCCATCAGAACCTTTGTTTCCTGGCTCCTGACTGCCAACTCCTCCTTAAAAAACAGTCTTTGTGGCTTTAGTTTAGCACTTTAGTTTCAATAAGCAGCAAGCATTTCACCATCCTGTGTACACAGCTTCCTGAAGAGAGCTTTAAATGATGTGGCTTTCTTGTGGTATAAACTTAAAACCACAAGAATGCATATTATTTAATGCTCATGTTAAGGTACAGGGCTCCTGCAGAGGTAGGGCCACTTCTTCCTGTCTGGCCTTAATAAGTAGAGGGTTGAGACATAAAATGAAGTAAACAAAGTCAGGTTCTTTGAGTTTGTCTGGGTAGAAAAGAAAAACATGTCAGAACATTCGTGCCAGGGCAGGTTTTTATGAATGGAAGTTTTTTTTCTAACTTTCCCTCTCTCTTTTTTGTGAATGAAAAACAACTGGAAAATCCAGAATAAAAGCCCGCAGTATACAGGGAGATCATTGGCTGCTGTGGCACAAGCTCCGCCTACGGTTGCTAGGAACCCGACTACCACGCTTCTGATTGGCTCACACGGGGAACCGAGACTTCATTCATAAGTCAGTGTATTCAAGCGGACAAAGGCAAGAAATTTGAGCCCTTGAAAGAGGAAATGCTCCAATCACGAGCCTCGTCTGGCTCGAGCAACAAAAGGCAAGTCTCCCCAAATCATGTCCGTAGCAGAATTGACAACACAGCTGCCTCAAAAGTCCCCTCACTTAAACAAAAACGTGTTCAAACTAACTCTTCCTGCCAATGTTAAGTTGTTTCCGTCGAAATATATAGTTGAGCTTTGCGGCTGTGACTCCACTAAAACTCGCTACATCTGTTTCCCGTCACAGCTACAACAGCGCTGGACTGGTTCCCAAAGAAAGTGGAGCCAAGCAATGTGGGCAGACGTGGCAAAAAGCCCGAGAAACAGTACTAAATAACACTCATAATTCAAACACGCTTTTACGACCCGTCCGACATGTTTTTTATCAACCACGCCACTAGGTAGCCTATAACACAAACAAAAACAAAAACTGAAATGTCCTTCTAAAAACGTGAAGAAAGAGCTGCTTGAGGTGTAAAATGAACGTTACCTTAACTTATAGGTATGTGACGAGCTGTCTGCCTGTCATACACACAAATAAGAGATTTGTAAAGAGGGCAGCAGCCCGCTGGGTAATCACTCGCCATCACTTCCTTTCGGCATTTTTTGTGAATGGAGCTCATTATGCATGCAGCCTCCACGCTGCTCCATTCACAAGCAGCGCTCCCTCCTCTCCCTGCAGCCTGCGTGGATCCACTCTGCCTAAATGACCACAAACGGGTAACGGATGGATTATAAGATGGATGGATATTTGGACCAGCAAGTGCCTTACACTTTAGCAAATGTACGTATGGATGAAATCTTTCTGTTACTTTCATATGTTTTGCTTTGTAAATAACTGCTACCGGGCTTTATCTCTCCGTCTGCTGCACGAGTTTTGGCTGAAGCAGCTGTGTGCGCGGGATATAAAACTACTTCTAACCCCGCTTTAAACTAACATAAATCTTTACAAACTAAAGCATAAGTATTGCACATAGTCATGTTTGTCTGTGGCTTTCTTCTAATCGTGACTTTGCTTGGAGAACGTGTCAATGTGTGCCAAATGGCCACTTTCTCCAGGCGCAAACTGCGCGTTTGTTTTTCACAGATTTCCTCCACCATAGAGAAATGTGTTGTTTTCTGAGTAGATTCATGTTCACATATAGCATGCCTCTTATTTATAACTCATTACAAATTATTGTTAACATACTTGTGTCTGGTTTGGTCAAATATGTCGAAGTGGTTTTTACATGCCACATTAAAGATTTTGACACTGATGTGCTCTGTTGGAATCTGTTTCTCACTTCTCTGTTAACATGTATGGGTTTTGCAGAAGTCGCATGGAAATGGGCCCCTAAATAGACTGTTGATGGCAGCGAAAAGGAAATACATGGACACAGAATTACCCCCTCAGGAATCCGAAGGTAAAGTAATTGAATACGCATGTTGACATCTATCAAGCCCAGGCAATGTCAGTATGAGGCCAATAGTTACTTGATATGCATATCATGAGGATAAGAAAAATATTAGTGAATCTAACTTGTCATTCATTCTGAATATTCATATGTGTATCTTTCTTTTCAGACCTCTTCCAGGATTTAAGCCAACTCCAAGAGACATGGCTCACAGAAGGTGAGATCTGCCAGCTTTTTATTCTTAATTTCTACTTTGCTGTGAAGATTTCCCTGTTAATGACTCATGGGGTTTGATAAGCTTGAAATGTTGGTTAACACAGACTTTAAATTACACAAATATTTAAATTTTTTATTAGAAATCCTGTGACTACGAAGGACACTCATTGCTTCCAGCTCTTCTTTCAGACCAAACTCTTATTAATCCACTTATTTGAGCTACTGTCCCAAACTGCCTGATGCAGCCCACATGCTCATAAACCGTAAAACACCAAAAAAGAAGAAAAAAAAGGGGTCCAGAAAGAACACAGACGGGACACTATTAGCTTCGAGCATGTCCTATTTTGGCCATGTTGGCATGTAGTATGCGTGCCAGCCAGCAGCCAATGCAAACAAACAGGCTATTTGGCTTGTGTCACTCAAAGGCACATAGCGATGAAATAGGGCCCAGCCACAGGCAATTGTCAGCCAGTAGACTTAATAAGTGCAATGATGATGTAAGCCCAAATGGAATAATTATACTGCATGTCAAGAGAGAGAAAACAACACAGGCCGTGAGTCATTGTGCCCAGTTTTAGTGGACAACAGTGGCAGGGCAGTGTTGGTCTGAAAGGTGCTTAAAGACGCGAGTTAAAATGAGAAGTGCAACCAAGAGGTGTGAATTTCAGTTGTGTCTGTTGCTTTGAAGTGCTTTGATGTGGAAGTTAAAGAGAACTTTTGCTCTGTTTTTACATTTAATGTGAACCACATCAACTTGATAAATTCTGTTTAAAGTTGCTTATTGTCACTTTGGTGTTTGAGCTTTGATTTCAGAGTATTACACCAGTATTACAACTTTTATTTGTTGATGGGGGAAATTGTCTTTGTTCTTACCTGAGTATAAATTGTGCATGTACAGGCGATTCTGTGACATCACAACTCTTTTGGAAACTATGGTTTGAAATGCTACTTACACTGGTAAAATGTTGGGTTAAAATCTCTAATTGCAAATATCTGGCTGATTTTGCTGTATCGTTGCGATATAATTAAAAATATTAGAAGGCATGATCATTTTTCACGATCTGGATGGGATTTCTTGTGATGATCTGTCCAAACAACGTTATTTTCATAAAACTGTAGAATCAGTTTGTGGGCCAGAACATCTCTGCAGAGCCACAATAGGTCATTCAGAATGTTATTTTGACACAAGATGTGCCTATAACACAGGTTATGCAGATTGTTTATCCTACATAAATGCTATTTTCTTAAATCAAGTATAAAGAGAATGGGTGGTGCTCTGTTGTTATGTGTAAAGAAGAATTTCAATAGCGATTACGTCACTTTAAAACAGTACAAAGAGCCAGTATTGACTTTGAGTCACAGTATACAGCAGATCGGCACACTATAGGAGAGTAGGACGCTATGTGGAAGCGGTTGTGTCTGACCTGTAGGCCAGACATTTAAATACAGCATGCTCCCCAGCAAGCTACTGTTTATGGGAAACAATGTGGTATCCACGTAGCTTTCTCACCTTTTCTCATGCAGCGCCAAAACCAGCAAGTTCACTTCACACCAGTGTCTCACGTAGACAGAGACAAGAGCCAGAGCCCATAAAACTGCAACAATGGGTGTCGCATCAAAGTTGGAGCCCATTTGTATTCACAGATTTTACAGTAAAAGCCACCCTTAAAGGCTCCGTTTTTCTCACTTACCTTACTGTGGTTTGGTCTTTGGGATCATTTTGGTTTAATTGCCTGGACTTAAACATGAGATTATGCCACCACATTACTAGAATGGACTTAGTATTTAGTTGGTGCTGCTGAAAAGTTAAAATAATAGATCAGAAACATGCTTTCCAAGGAAACAATTACCCTGTGACTCTAAATCACAGAGCACACTGTGATCTGTTTCACTCTTGACTACTTTTTACCAAATAAAAAGTCCCTATAAAAACTCATGAAAGCAAGCCATGTGAATGATTTGAAATGGCACAAAACAGGGCTTGCTGTTGCATTTCTAATCTGATTTGGTCATTTTCATAGGTATGAGCACCACATTAAATTCACCAACATTGTAGTGAGGCGGTTGCATCAAACACAGTTGGATATTTTAAAATCTGAGCAAAAATATCCACATGACTAGATAAAAGCACTATGAGATCAATTAGAAAGTATATTTCTGTAATCTTGGAAGATGTGAAAGGAGACATCATTTTTGATGTACATATTGGGTGGTTGCTTATTGTTGAGTCACAGAGGAAAAGCAGAAATATGGAAGTGTAACTTTATCAAAGTGTTATTTAACCCTAAGTACTGGCTTGTTTTCAGCTTCCCCGGCTAAGACCTCTCCTTTCCTGTGGCATTAATTAAAGACCTTATCATGACTGATTGCAGTTGTGAGGGATTCACCCAGATTGTAAAAGCTGGGTAGCTTGAGGGAGTTTTTTTTCTTCTCCTTTTTTTTTTTTGCCAAAGGAGAGCGGAAGCAAGGGAACTCAGAGAGGGTGAAGTACTGAATGGCAAGAGTTCAGGAGCTTGTCACATCTTGTCTCATTTTGGCCTTTAGGTTTATATGACTGAGGCTGCTTAGCTCCTCCCAGGATCTCCCACTGAGAGAAAAAAAAAAGTCATTCAAGGTGCCTGGAAGCATCGGGGAGAACATGCGTCTGTGCTCGTATAAACACACTTTCCTTCTTGTGCTGACTTGCATCCCAAAGCCCCTGACGAGGTGTTCCTGGAAACAAATCAAATACACATGCAAGCGCTCATGCACGCACGCACGCGCACGCACGCACACACACACACACACACACACACACACACACACAGAGGAAAGGGCACAGACACAAATACACACAGCAGATACTGTCTGATGCTCTTCATCTGCATGTCTTCTGTCTTTATGAGGTCCAGCGTGTTCCGTTTTGGACATGTTGAAACTAGCGGATATGATTGATTGTTAGATGTGCAGAACTAAATATTGGCCCCTGCTCTGTCTCATGCAGCAGCTTTATTCCCCCCCCCCCCCCCCGAGGGCGATAGACCGAAAAGTTAAAAGGGGGTAATATTATTATAGGATAGTAAGACACAGGATGTGGCGTTGTATAAGAAATCGATGTCATTTATCTGAACATGCTCCGAAACGCCATCATCCGGTTTCCTTTGCACAGGAAGGAGGAGTGTGACAACACGAAAGTGGATTTGGATTTCTTATTTCCTCTTTTTGTGTCTGCTGCTCTCTTGAGTTTTGGTAGTGTGTATCTGGAAAGCATAATGTCGGATGAAGTGAGAGAATAGGCTGTTGGGTCAGATTTCAGTTGTTGTTTGAGGTTGCAATCACATCCTTTGCTACAGAGTCAAAGCAGATTTGCTAAATCTGCTATTTATGACTCTTTTGTCCATTTCCACCGAGTGAATAGTGCTAAAGTACCCACAACATGGTACCACTTTGTTTTGTAGCCCATTACACCCCTGATTGAGTTTGTGATATTTAATGATAGCCATCAACTTTTCCCTGCCAGTTTGCTTTTACCATGACGTAAGTGTGAGGCCCAAGCAATGGAAACACTTTTTAAAAACCCAGAAACTTGTGGAGCTCAAGTCGTGCCAGATTAAAAGGTTGCAAGCCCTGCTTCTGCTCTAAATGTAGGGTTAGATCATTAATTCAGGGGTAGTTAACCAAAATGCCATCACGCTCATGGTTAAGTGGGTGAATTTGACCTCCTCACCCCCCAGTAGGTTGTTTTGGAGTCAGATGAATTTTGGCTTTTCTAACCAGTTTGTGTGACTTAATTACCGGCTGCACCTGGGTTTAGCATCAGCTTCATGAGTTTCATTATGGCCGATGGGGCTTCTGAAATCGAACACCACTGCAAGTAATTATAGATCAGATCAAGATATCACACAAACAGTAGCACTGTAGTGACTCGTCTATTTTTTACAAATCATTGGCTGTGTATTGTCTGTGTGACTCTTACATTAATGCTTCATAGCAACCGATATGAACTGTAGTGTGATCAATTCTTAGTAAAGTCACTGCGGATCCAAGAATATGTGACTTTAATTTGCTCCTTTTTCACTGTCCCAGTTCGCCTCTTGATTTGAGTCTAGTTTACTTGTTCTGTATCAGCTAAATTACAGCGAATCCTCATCTACGCAGCAGATTAAATCCAGACTACCTTAAGATTGTTAAACAGAGTCCCCACCACGTTGGGACAAGCTGAATCTGAATAACTGGTTTGTACTGCTTGACAGATTTCTTAACTCGTATATAGCCAGAACAGCCTGTTAGTCTGTCTGGGTATCTACAAAGGAGATAGAAAGAAACAGGTTAACAGCTGGTTGTATAACTCGACCGCTGGTGTACAGATGTCTGGCTAGTTGAGTAGTCATTACATGTCTCGAATAGGATGTCTTAAAAGAGGTTGGGAGAAAAGACGTTGCATAACTTGGACTTGACAAACGTTGTTTTTCCCTCTCTGTTAGGATTTACAGACAAAGAGTTTGTGATAAAATGTCAAAGAAAATTGTGGTTGGGGGAAATGAGATTGTGAAATGTGAACATACTTTGGAATAGGCATTTCGCAATAATAACGGCAAACAAATAACCTGTAGTAAACAATTTTATTTTGAAAAGTAGTAAATATTTTTACAATTCTAAGTTTAGATTTTTGATTATTTATCACATCTTGAGCTCATTAGGTTCCTATAAGTAGGGACTGTCCAACACAACATGCAGAGTCTAGTTTCATGGTTTTAATTGGCAGAAATGTCTCGGTTTAAGTCAAAGGAAACAAGGACGGCAGGTTATCATCATGCTATTCAGGATCTCCGTGTTCTTGCATATTGATCTATGAGATGAGCAAAGTGCTGACCTGCTGCGAAAACTCACGAAGAGAAGCACAGACTGGGCCTGACTCAGATTTCCAGAAGAGAAACAGTAAGACAGAACAAGGGAGGAAAGTAGAGACAGAGAAAGGTCACTTGTTGTCAAAACTATTATAATCATGTCAAATTTATGGCTGTTCTTTTTTCTTTCTAATTTCAGCTCAAGTTCCCGACAGTGACGAGCAGTTTGTTCCTGATTTCCATTCTGAGAACTGTGAGTACTTTCAATGTATGCGTACTCTGAACGTATGTGTGTCTATGCCAAGACATTTGATTATCTGAATATAAAGTACACAGATCAGATGTTTTTTAATTCTTTTTCAATGGGGCATTGATCTGTGAATGGACTGTCTCAGCCATCTTCCAGATGGCTGAGACATTGGACTGTAGGCCTTCTCGTGAATTCAGCCAAAGTATGCATGTCCTGAGAAAGTGAGGATGAATCCAGCGGTCAGATTTGTGACTGTGAATCTGCCAGTGGCTTAGGTAGGGATACTGTAACTCGCTGATGTTACAGTATCTCTTTGGCAGACAAAACGGCACAAGGCCTAATGAGCCAGTCATCATGAAGTCAATTTGGATGCCAGCATTATGTGCTGCCGTCATCCATTTGCATGCCTTTGAAAAGCTGAATGGGTACGGCCCAGGAAACCAGTAAAAAATCGGAAGGTGTAAAATAGAGAAGCAAATTCCTGGGCTGCACAACTGAGCGGCTATTTGAATGAGTTTCCCTTTCTTGTTGCGCTAACAATGGCGATTCAGGATCTGGGTGGGAGTACAAACAGTTTTTCGGTCCCATTCAACGCACTGCAGGCTTCCCCATCTTTAGCAATAACACTGAAATGCTTAGGGAGAAAACTTGAAATACGTGAAGTATAATCTCATCCCCCAAAGTAAAATTGACAGCGTTTGTTCCCAGTCAAAAGGCACTTCTTCTCAGTGAAACCAATGTGTCCTTTGTGTGTAAACATCATGTGATTGAACCAGCTCCAAGTCACAACGGCTCAGCCCCTCGGTGACACATGCTCTGTGCAACGTTGTCGCTGTCTGTTGGCCAACAATGCGAAGCAGGAAGTGCAGATGAACCCCAGGGCACACAGGGGTCATGTCTACTTAACCCCCTGACCTGTCAGCCAATCAGCTGTCAGGCCTCTGCTAACGGTTGACCAGTGTATGATTTGTAGGGTCACAAGGGCTTCAGTTTGACGGGCAGCTCACTTATACGCAGCAGAGACAGTCCCACGTTGACAGACAGTGTCCCTGCTGGTCCCAGTCAATAGCTCCGAGTCCACTTTGAGCATCTCTATCCAGCTCAGATTTAGGCGAAATTGAATCTGACAAGCGACCACTAACATATTCATCTTTTTGTTTCAATCTGGTGTGTTAAAAGCATAAAAAGGCTTATCTTTCCCATACTGCGCTAAAATGCGTTCTCATTGTCATGGGGTTCTTTTTAAAAACAAGGTGACTCACCTTTTATGGAAACTGTAGTACATAAAAAAAAAAACATAAAGCAAAGCCCTAATCCCAGGTGACCGGAATATAATTGAGGCTTGCATTGAAAACAGCGCCCTTTTAAAATTAAACATTGTTGTTTACTGAGTCAGGTTGTTACCTGCATGGGTGTGGTGTTGAAGGAGATGAAATCAAAAAAAAGAAAAAAGCAGATAGGCAAAAACACTAGGACATGTTGGAATGCTAGATTGGGGAAGAGGACGGGGGGGCTGGGGGTGGCAAAGGAGGGGATTGTGCAATACCTGCACATCTGGTAAATCTATCTCATCTGGTCCATTCTCCCTCGGTTCACCGCTAACAAGCCCACTCTGTGTGCAGGCTGCCATTGAGGGAAGGTTATGCCAACATGCAACTTTTATGTACTTGCTGACCTGCCTGTGTGTGTTTAAAGGTAATTGAGCCATTGGTGATAACAACGCACCATATTTTCCCCATCAAACTAATGTGATTGGCCCTTGCATGGAAAAAGAAGGATGTTGATGTGAGGAGATGAGGATTAATGCTTCATTTTGGGGCCGCTGACAGCAGCTCGGGGGTTATCCTCGCCTGACGCTAGGCTGTCGGACTGATTCCTTTATCTGTTTACTGCCTGCGGGGAAGAAACACCATGGAGGTGTCAGTCAAATTGATGGCGAAGATACTTAATTAAAATAGTTTGAACATGTCACTACTTAAGTTTTTGTGTTTGAATAATCACTTAAAAGCCAGCTCCTGGGCGTTTAGCGAGGCCCTGCCGTCGTCTTTCTTTGTCCAAGTATGTTGTTTACACTTGGAGCTGCTCGAGAGATGTGACCCATTCATACATTTTCTTCCCTGCGTGCGTAAGAGGAAGTGTGCCTCTCCCTCCCCCTTCTCTCCTTCTCTCTCTCAGTCCTCCGCTGCTCCCTCCTTCGCTCTTCATTCATAAAAAAGCCCTACATTACTACAGATCCCCCTTCTCTGACACCCCCTCCTCTCCAAGTGGATACTCCAAACCCCTCCCTCCCTTCCTGTGTCTGTACAAACTAAGCCGAATTTAAAAATCTGGACTAAACCCCCCCATCCCTTTTCTCTCTACCTCTCTGTGTCTCTCTCCACACACACATTGAGTGTTCCAAGATGTGAACTAATCTAGCGATTTGGGAGCTGTGTGGGACGATTGTTTAGTTTTGTGCCTTGCAGTAATTATATAGGAAGTTGTGGCCATAGAATGCCTTTAAAGTACTTTTCAAAAAGCAAGTTTAGCAAAAGGAGAGAAAGCTAAGAAAAGAGGGAAGAGAATAAAGAGGATTTAGAGAAGAAAAAGAAAGGACTTCAAAGTCTGACTCTTCTTTTTGATTTCTATTATATCTCACCATTACATTGCATTCCACCCATAGAATGTATATATTCAACCGCTAAAGCTCATCTCACCTTATTGAGTAAAGTCTTTGTGCGCCTTTTCTTTGATTATTGTACAAAATGAAGTGTGAGTCTGGGGGCCGAGGCGAGTGTGATATTTTAGCCTTTGTAGACCATTAACATACACTAAAAGCTATATAATACACTGCAGGTAAGGGAAAAACAATCAAAAGCATAACAGGGCGTCAATATAGAATGTGTGTGTCAAAAATGACTTAAATTATTGATTGGCCTTCAGAAAAGGTGCACAAAGAAGAAAGAAGAAGGGAACAAAAGAAGGAAAGAGGGAACAAAACAAGGACAGAATAAAGGAAACAACATAAAGGAAAGGTTCCAGTAACCCAGCTCTAACCAAATCCTCCCCGCAGTGTGTCTCTCTGGCTCTGCGTGTTCTGCTTTGTCATGAATTCACAGCCTTCATCTTGTTTGGGTTGTTTTTCTGGATCAGAACCGGCCCAATCAGGCCCTATTCGAAGCATGAGGCGATGGGCGAATGGAGCCCCCCTCCCCCACCCCCTTTTCCAACTCCCTCTCTCCCCTAAAGAGAAACATGCAGCCTTGTGTTCTTCTCTTTCCAAAATACAGCTGCTATGCAACAAAGTGCGCAAAAGCAGCCAGGTGCCTGCCAGACATGCATGCAAACCCCCGCTCGTCTTCCTCCACGTCTGTGTTTGTTACAGAGTTTTGCTTTGCTTACGAGTAAAATGGTTGATTTCTCTTACGCGGACAGATGATTTCTTTTGACAGCCTCTCATCCACTTACTCCTGCGCACACATAAACACACTTGGCCCTGGCGAACACACACACACGGACACACTTCAGCTCTGCAGTTTTATGAATGGGTTGGTTGTGAAAGAGTGGCTGAGGCAGCACATTGAGTTAAGGGGGGTGAACCTTCATTCACGACATTGGGGGACGTTATTCCAACAACACCTATGAGAGGTGCAGACCTATCTTTTCTGTCAGTCTGACTACAACTCTTTTCAGTTTTGGGGGATCATGCTACTCCTGTTAAATCTTGATAGTTGTGCCCTTTGTTGGTGTAGTTGCAAACTGGCCAAAAGTTTCTCTTGAATTTGTTTTCCAATCAGGAACCTAAAAAAAAAGACACTACAACAACTAAAGTTTACTGCTAGTTTACAGCATTATTTAGTCATCTTTAGTCAATCAAATCCAATGGAAATAGGATTGTAAAGGTCAGGCATGTGGAGTAATAGGCGTTTAACAGCTTCCAGTGGGGAAGTAAAAGCTGTACTCCTGCGTGTTGATTCAGAACAGCCCTGTCAAAGCCAGGGGGCCGCGGGGATTTGAGCCAGGCAGCGCAACCCGAGTGTCAGCAGCAGAGCTTTGTGAATGGACGGCAGTGTGTGTTTTATTACAGGAGAGAGAGGGGAGGTGTGTGTGCAGAAAAAAAGGACTCTGTCAGTGTATGTGTGTGTTGGTACATCCCTGTGATGCTCATATGCGTGCCTTAGCATTTCTCTGTCTGTGTTGCTGTGTTTACTCCGGCACAGCTCTGCTTTCTGCTGCTGGAATGTTTTCTCCGTCTGAAGTGAGCACAGACCAAAGAGGGGAACAGACGCTGTAAAAGAGAAGGGGCGAGGCCATAAAAATAACAGTAGTTGAACTTGAAGCTTTCATTAAGAAAAAACATACGAGTGTGTAAACCATGGCAGTGGTAAATTCCAGTTTATACATGTTGCCTATTGAAGGATAATCTAATACAAGTCAGGCCTTTAGGCAGGAGAGGATCTGGTGTGCTCTGTCTTTTTCAAAGTGTAATGGAGGTTGTTCTCTTGGTTTAGACTATGAACGGGTGTCCGTGTTATTTGAATAAATCAATCTCCACACAGAGTACACTAAGAAAAAACAACCTTTTTATTTAAGAAAGTGCTACGTTCTTTCGCCTCATAATATTCACATTCTGTGTGTAAATGTTTTAATGTATTAAATCAAACGTCAAAAACATCCATGCCTGTTTAAAGGCTTTGTAGATTGCACCATTCTTTCTATTGGTTGTTGGTTAGGTCTGGAAATGCAGCAGTTTTTTAACAAGAAGAGATGATGAAGCAAGAAATAAAGAATGTAGCAAATGATTGGCCCTATAGAGTAAAATAGTCAATAAAGTGATGTAGGCCTATGCATTTTGGCGGTGCTACCTTGTGATTGACAGTTCACTGCCACAGCATTGTCCTGTTGGGATGTCTCCCATGTTTCCATCTTTGGTAAGAGAAAAACCAAGATGGCCACATTCAAAATTCTAAATACAGTTTAACGTTTCAACCATGGCCTTTAACCGAAATCCCATTGTTTCCTCATCTGAATTTGTTTTAGCAATGCTACCATGTTCCCATATTCAAGCAATTACTTAAGCGAGTGTAATGTTGTCATAACCCTTCAAATATATATTTTAAAGCTGTTTTCGCTCTCCTTTGTCGTCCAACATTCCTACTTAGATCTCACTCTAGTTCCTGACAGTCCCACACACACACACACACACACACACACACACACACACACACACACACACACACACACACACACATTAAACAAACCCTGCTTGTTAGTGGAGGAGGAGGCTGGACTCGTAGTAGGAATAGTACCCTCTATTGTTGCTGTGCTTTCCGGGCCTTGGAACAAAACCATTAATAAGTCGTGTGTACGGGTGTAGGTGTCAAGAAAGGACGCGGAAAGAGCATGGGGGGAGGAGTGGGAGAGAAAGAAAATAACTAGTCCTAGCAACTGGCGATTAAGAACCTGCCGTGCAAACTGGGCGCGAATGGCGAAGAAAGGGATAGGACGGAAGTAGGCCTAAATAGCCACGAAATAGAAGTAGTTCTGTAGATAGTTGGGGGAGGTAGTAGGAGAATGAGGGAGAGGATCTAGTCGCTCTTGAGCATGCCGGCGGCCGACCCGAGGGAGTCGAGCGAGGGTGTGGATGACCCAGAACAGCGTCCAATGATGCTCAGGTCGGAGGAGGAGGTGATTGTTCGTCCCAAAACAAATTACGACACACACACACACACACACACACACACACAACANGGCTAATGTTGGGCTATAAAGGAACTACAGCACGGTCACATGACTTCACGTCACCACCGCTAAGCTAAAGGTGGCTAATGTTGGGCTATAAAGGAACTACAGCACGGTCACATGACTTCACGTCACCACCGCTAAGCTAAAGGAGGCTAATGTTGGGCTAAAGGAACTACAGCACGGTCACATGACTTCACGTCACCACCGCTAAGCTAAAGGAGGCTAATGTTGGGCTAAAGGAACTACAGCACGGTCACATGACTTCACGTTACCACCGCTAAGCTAAAGGAGGCTAATGTTGGGCTATAAAGGAACTACAGCACGGTCACATGACTTCACGTCACCACCGCTAAGCTAAAGGTGGCTAATGTTGGCCTTGATGACGTTTAGTCGTCTCATTTAGACACTTGTTAGCAACCAACGTAAATTCACCAGTGGGGTATTTACTGAATTATTTTATGTCGTAGAACAAAACGTTAAATTCTCCACAGACCATATTTCAGGCTCCTATCCACAAACCAGTCCAAAAATGTTTGACTTTGACACGAGGGAACCGAAAGTAATCATATGCTGACTAATTTCTGGGTTTTAGGACTCATTCCTTAACAATTTCCCACATTGGGATCAACAAAGTATATCTAACCTAAATCTCATCATAGAAAGTCTAGTCATTTTTGGTTGCAGCGTCCATATTCTCATATTTAGCTATTTTTAATTGCCGAAAACAGATATATAACCATTCTGATCTATTGGAAAAGTGTTTCACATCATGCAACTTTTAACATATATTCCACTTTTCAATGAATCATCATCATTTGTAGCCAATTGGCCTTAATACACTGACACGGGGAGGACTCTTATTCAAAGTGGTTGTAGCTAAAGGTCGATGAGATCCTGCTGAGGTAAAGAACCTCTTTGAAGTGTCCGGGGCATGGAAATCATTTTCCTCTTTGTATGCGAATATATAAGAGTGTGTGTTCCCACATATTTTACAGACTTCCTCCTTCACTTCCTTCATGTTTGCCCCCTTTGCCCTCGATCCTTTCATTAAACACGGGATAAAGCCCCGTCCTCTCTTATCGAATCAAAACGCCCCGTCTGTGCAACCGGACAAAAGGAAAAAAGCACAGAGTCAGCAGAAGGTGGAAGGTGACATTGATGATGATGAAGATGATGGAAAAATATTCACGGAGATGAGCGTGAGATTGATCATAATCTGGAGAATACTGACACAGTGGAGAAGAAGGGTATATTAGAAAGTGCGGCATTTTAAAAGCAGTATGCAGGTTCCAAAATATCCTACGTTCAAATGGCCACTTAATAGATTACTGGGACTAAACTAACTATGATTTTGTTTATTTCATATATTAAT